CCCTCCCCTGCCTCACCTCCTCACCTCCCCCCACCTCACCTCCTCACCTCCCCATCTTCCTCATCTCCATACCCACCTCACCTCTCTGCCTTCCTCATCTCCTTACCCTCCACACCTGCTTATCTTCCCATCTTCCTCACCTCCTCCAGCCTCACCTCCATGCCTTTCTCACCTTCCGCCCTTCCTCACCTCCAACCTCCAAACCTCCTCACCCTCCTCACTCCCCACCTCCCTCCCTCACCTCCCTACCCTCCTCACCTCCTCACCTCTTCATCTTCCTCTCCTGCTCAGTCTTCATCTCACCTCCTCACGGCCTCACCCCCTCCCTCCTCTTCCCTTCTCATTTCCTCATCTCCACAGGCCAGGATGGAGCTCCCGAACAAGGCTCTGTGGAGCGAATCATCAACAGTCTTGTCGTGCTTTGGGCAGTAATTGAAGTCAGACTTTGAGACTAAAGTTTAGTCTAGAATGTTTCTCCTGTTTAGCTAGTGCTGTGTGGTATTAGGTAAGTTTTGAAATTGCCTAACGTCACCTCATAATTAAAGACGTGTTATTCGCTGTTGATGTATGTGAAAGACGCTTCAAGCTGCTGAAAAACACGATGGCGTGACGTTCCGTTTACTCGGAGCCTCCCTCCGTGGTGCCAGCAGGCGCCAGCTCACTGAGCATAGAGCGAGAGCCGCTGCGTTGGCCTGGGGAGTGCGGATAAATCCGGGAGGGCGGTTTCCTCCGGGTAGCGTCAGGTCACCTGGGGCAGTGTTTTTGTTCCCTGTTTATTCTTGCCGCTCGAGCCATTTGGTTGGCTGGACGCCCTCGCTGCCCGTGGGCCCCCCCTCAGCAAGCGCCCCTTCCCCTCCCGGCACCCTCCGTCCCGGTCCCGGAGGCGCGTCAGGCAGGAGGAAAGTGGGGACAGGGAAGCACCAGGCCTGCTCGGGCCTTCCGGAGGGCAGCGGTTTCCGGCAGTGGCCCCGTGTGCGTGTGAGGGCCCACGGTGTCCAGTGTCACCTTCCTGGCTGTCTGCTGAGCGCAGACGCAGGTGAGGGTGGCCTGGGCCGCGGTGGGTGTGGGCGGGCGGGCCTCACCCTTCTTGCTTTCTTGCTCTCTGCCCCTCGGCCAGGGCCCTGGACTTCGGGTACCTGACCCAGGACATGATTGACGACTATGAACCGGCCCTCATGTTCACCATCCCCAGGTTGGCCATCGTGTGGTGAGTGCTCCCCGGGCCCGGGGCAGCCGCCGTGCAGAAGCCGGGCAGGACTGTGGAGGACTGGGCCCCTGCTGGCACTTACACCCCCAACGCTGGCTGTCGGCCGCCTGCACAGCACCACGCAGGCCTGCTGGCGCCCCTCACCAGTGTTCTGAGGGCGAGGGGGGACCCCCCCCCACCCTAGACAGTGCGAGATGGCTGGACACCCGACACCCGGCTGGACAGGTGACGTGGACAGTCGCTGGACTCACAGCCCAGGGGAGGAGCACCCCGCACACCGCATGGAGCCACGTGGGGTGCACACAGAAGCAGAGCGCCCAGCTCGGGCCGTGGGGGGAGGCTGCGTGTAAGGAGAGGGTGGGACGCCCCTGGCTCCCTCGGGCGGGTGTGACGGGGTTACCTGAGCCATTCAAGGCTGGCGTGGAGGGAAATGAAAGCGAAGAGGAGGCGGGAGCAGCTGGTCTGGCCACGGGGTGGGGGGGCGTGCCTGGGCCGGAGCCTTTCCTGCTGGGCGGAGGAGGGGGGAGATGAGTGGCGAGAGCAGGGGAGCTCAGGCTTGGGCCTTTGGGGTCTGGTGGGCTCAGAGACGCCAGGCAGCACACGGTTAGGCCCTAAGTATGCCAAGGCAGGAAGTGCCCGATCACTTGCTGGGTGCCCAGAGCTTCCCCGAGCCAAGGTCAGAGCCCAGGTGTTGTGGGCTTGGTCCGCTGCTGTTCAGCCACACCCTGACTCCCGCACAGGGACTGCCCTTCTCTCCTGCCAGGTGAGGGGGCAGGGGGAGGGCGGTCACAGAGGGAGGAGGAGGGCAGTGGGCCACGGGGGTCTCTGTGGGCCTGGAAGTTAGGGAGGGGCCCGGTGGGCAGCTGGTGTGCAGGCGTGCAGCTGGGCAGAGAGGACGGGAGTCCTCGGGGCAGATGCCGATTGTGGATGTGATCGTCAGCGAAAGCCGCCCTGGGGGAGCGTGGGGTGACGCGGAGGCCAGGACTGGTCCAGGGACAGAATCCCCTCCTTGGGAAATGGGGGTGCGGTGGCGGGAGCAGTGGGGGGCAGTGGCGGTGCCGCAGGATGGGGCCAGCTTCTGGGCCAGAGGGGCTTCCCTCGCCCACAGGGGGCGGGACTCGTGGTGTGCCGTGCGGAAGTGTGGGAGCTGCGGGCAGACCCCGCCCTGGGCTGGCCCAGAAGCACCTGCTGCTGCCCTGAGACCCCGGAGATGAGCAGAGGCTTGGCTGAGAAAGGGCTGGGAGACAGGCCAGGGCAAGCGGCTGTCACTTCCCAGGACCCCAGGGAACCCTGAGCAGCGCCCTCTGGACACCTCACTTTCCCGGCTGGGGCAAGGGGGCGGCCGCCTGGCCTCAGTCTCCCTGGCCTGGCTTTGTCCTCAGAGCCGGCTTCCCTGGGGGTCTCAGTCTGCCAGAACCCCTTGGGCCTGGTGCCTCCTCCTGTTGTCCTTGTCCCCAAGAGACGGTGTCCTAATCAGGGAAAACAGGAGTGGGTCCCATCACACCAGAGGGGCAACATGTCACAGTCGCCTCAGTTGCTGGGCTCCGGGACTCTCCCTCCATCCGAAGCTGGAGGAGGCAGAGGACAGACGTCCCCAGTGGGCCAACTCACGTGGTCTGGCCTGACATGTCCTGGAGCGTCCCCTCGGACGGGGCCATGTGGTTTTGTTACATCGTTTGCTTTCTAGGCAATGGTTCTCTGTGGCCAAACGTGTAGAAGAAAACGCTGCTTCGAGCCGGGGCCTTAATGTTTATGGGGCGGGGGGCGCTAGGGTCTGCAGCCCTTCCCGTGAGAGCCGGCTTTGCCCTTCCTCTGCGGTTCACACGCCGCTTTGCGGGAAGCGCCCAGCCCCTGGCCTGGCCCTGGTTCTTTCCTAAATTCCTTGGCGAGTGCCTGGAAGCTCAGGATCAGGTGCCCCCGCCACAGAGCCCCCTCGTGGGGTCTGTGGCCGCCCGATGGGGTTCCCAGGCTGCCTTTCCTTCGGAGCTGCCTCACAGCGCACAAAGGCCGGCGCAGGTGCGCACTGACTGGCCTGCTCTGACGAGCTGCCCCGCGGCGAGGAGCCCCGCATAGCACCCCGGGGGCCGGGCAGCACCCTGCATCTCGGGTCAGGACGGACTTGCCTGTTCTAAGCCTCATGGGAGCACCAGACTCTCTTAGGCGGTTTTAAAATAAACCCCGGTTTAGGATAAGGTGCGGCATCAGACAGCCTCAGCGCATGGCTTCCGGGTTCTTACCCTGAAGCCTGCCGAGTGGGTCTGTTCAGCCCTTTACCAGCCTACCTGCCAGCATTGGCCCAGGCCCGGTGACCACAGGACCATGGTCTCGGGCCTTTCTATTGTCACTGAGCGGCCACCTGAGGCCACCTCTCCCTGACTGGCATCGCTGCACCCTGTTTGCAGACCACGGCTGCCCCGCACACATCTGAGCTTCTGTTCCTTCTCTGTCCCTCGTCCTGGGAGGGAGAGCGAGGGCCCCGTGGGCTGGGCCCTTGCCCTGTCGTCCCCCCTGGCAGCCCCGTGTGGAGTTCCCTCAGAAGTCCCCAGAAATGAGGGGGCTCCAAGTCACAGCGAAGGGAGGCAGCTTTAGAGCAGGTGCAGGCCAGGCCGGCCAGAAGTGGGAGCAGATGCAGGGGCCCCAGGCGCAGAGCATGGGGAGCAGAGGGGCTCGGCTCGGCTTGGCCAGGAGGGTGGCCTCACTACAGCTACCCCCGTCCACCTCAGAACCTCGCCAGCCCTCGAGCAGAGGCAGGGGGTTACAGCCTCAGAGCCAGGCTGCCTGGCCGTGGCCGAAATCCTCCTTCCTTCCTGGAGGAAGCTGTTCCCAGAGCCGCCCCCTTCAGGGTCACCTCCCCAGGTGCCTGATGCTGCCTCTCTCCTTCCTCACTGTCCTTGGTGGCTGCTCTGGGCCAGACAGGCAGCATCACAGCTGCACGGGGTGGGGCCTGGGCCTTGCTCTGTCTGTATTTGCCCAGCGAGCACGTGTGGAGCACCTGCTGCGTACCTGACCCTGTGCTTGTCCCCAGGGACACTATTATGCCCGTGGGGAGTGCGCGGGTAGGTGAAACGAGCAGTTGCTGTGGAGTGTTCTGGATGCTGGGGTGGGGTAGGGGGCTTGGAGCAGGACCCTCTGGAGTGGACAAGAGCTGGTAGCATGGGGGAGAGGCTCCCTGGGTTCTGGAGCAGAGCTCCGGGAGTCAGGATGGGAGCCTGGCAGGTGGTGGGCTGCGGGCAGGCAGCATGTGCAAAGGGCCAGAGGCAGGAAGACCTCTGGCTGAAGGGAGAAGGGTGACCCGTAGACACTTGGTTGGCGGTAAAGCCAACACTCCTGGAATGACAGCCTTCTAGGGTCACGTCTGTGATGTGGGTTGGTGGGATCCCCTGAGGACAGAGGGGGATCTGGGAGTGTAGCCTCTCTGCCACTGTGTCCCCCTCGCCCTACGTCCAGCCCCTTCCCACCAGGTTGAGAAGACGCCCTGCTCTGAGCTCTCCCAGGAGCAACACATCCTCTGAGGTGGTCTCTCTGGCCCATCACGGGTCAGAGGCACAACCCAAGCCAGCCCGGCCCTCTGCCTTGTGACCGCTGGGCAGGTGCCTGAGGTAGGGGCGGTAAACTGAGGTCTGAGAGAGGGCTATGTGGGGGCCTGGAGGTTCAGGAGGAGGCCAGTCCGGCCCAGGTAGAGGGTGTCCACGGCCAGCTCGGGTACCGGCCCTGGACCCTGGGCCCAAGCTCCCCCATTTCCCTGGCACCCCGGACCTGGTCCTCCCTCACTCAGCTACATGTCCCGGGGGAAAGTGAGTCTCCACGTGGTTCTGACTGTGACAGACTAGTTTCACTCCTGACGGTTTATCTGAAAACAGTTGGAGCTGTTTTACACGAATAAGGAAACTAACAGTCTCCAGGTTCTGTGCCCTGGTGACTGGCCCCGTCAGGGCGGACCTGCTTACCTGGGCCTGCCTGCGAGGCCCGCTTCACCTCCCGGTCTCGGCTGCTGGCCCGGCCCGGCCTCAGCTCCAGCCTCTGCAGTTGCCCCCACTCGGAGTGGGCCAACCTCTCCCGAAGCTGCATCCCGGGCTGAACTGCCCAGAACCCAGAGCCCAGGCCTTGCTCCTGCTCCACCCCTGCAACCCACTCCCCGTCCTGCCTCACACTCCCCCTCCTGCAATGGGGCCGGTTCTGTGCCTCCCTCCCCTCTTCCACTCCCTTCCCCTTTTCCCCTCTCCCTCCCCCTCTCCTCTTCCCCCTCCCCTCCCCTCTCCCCCCTCTCCCTCTCCCCCTCCCTTCCCTCTTCTCTATCCCCTCCACTCTCCTCCCCTTTTCCCCCTCCCCCTCCCCTCCCTTTTTCCTCCTCCCCCTCCCCTCTCCTCTACCACTCCCCTCCCCTCTTTCCCCTTCCCCTCCTCCCCACCCTCCCCCCCTCAGCTATAGGCAGCCCCATCCCTTCCCCTCTCTCATTTTACCACCCCTCCCACCCACATTCCATCCTGTGGTCCTACCACCAGAAGCCCCTGCCCTGGGAGGCTCTGGCCTCCCTTCCTTTGGTCCCTTTGCCTACCTGCTTCCCCACTAGTGACAGCCCCCTACCCAGCCCCTTCCCAGTCTCCACACAACCTGCCTCACCTGCAGCCCTTCCTCATACAGGTGTTCAATGCCTCCGGCAAGGTTACATATTTACCCTAGATCGCTTATTTTTAAAATACGTTAGAGGGGCGCCTGGGTGGCGCAGTCGGTTGAGCGTCCGACTTCAGCCAGGTCACGATCTCGCGGTCCGTGAGTTCGAGCCCCGCGTCGGACTCTGGGCTGATGGCTCGGAGCCTGGAGCCTGTTTCCGATTCTGTGTCTCCCTCTCTCTCTGCCCCTCCCCCGTTCATGCTCTGTCTCTCTCTGTCCCAAAAATAAATAAACGTTGAAAAAAAAATTAAAAAAAAATACGTTAGATATAATGCACATACCACACAGCTCACCCACTTTAAGTGTACAATTCAATGGTTTTTAGTAAACGTACAGAATTGGGCAACCGTCACCATTAATTCCAGAACATATTCATCACCCCAAACAGATACATACCCCTTACCCCTTAGCTGTCCCCTCCACCCCCTACGCCCCACCCCCCCTCCAGCCCCAGGAAACCACAGATCTGTTCCTGTGTCTGTAGATTTGCCCATCTGGGGTATCTCATGTAAATGGGGTCTGTGCCTCCCCACCAGCCTGGCAGCTGTACGTGAGGAGTGCTCACTGCCTTTTCCCTCAGAGTCCCTAGTGCTTGGCATGTGGCAGTAGAACTTTCTCCGAATTTTGTTGCATTGACCCAACAGGGCACAATATGTGTTTACAAGGATTTTTACTGAAGGTTATTTTTAATCGTGAAAATTCGAGCGCGTGGGTATGTAGAATTAAGGGATTGTTTAAAAACTATACTCCAGCCACTTAAGTAACATTAGTGAAAAATCCCAAAAGCCATGGAAAAACGTCCCCAGTGTGCTGAGTACAAAAAAATTGTACCAAATATTATGTCTCTACTTAACAAAATTTCTTAGCATGATAGGTATAACTTTTGTAAACAGAAATCAAAGCAATAAATGATAATTTTTTTATTGTGGTAAAATATGCATAATATAAGATTTACCACTTTAAGTCTTTGTTTTAATGTTTATTTATTTATTCTAAGAAAGAGAGAGCACATGCATATGTGCACAAGCCGGGGAGGGGCAGAGAGAAAGAGGATCCCAAGCAGGCTTCCTACCATCAACACAGAGCCCAACACAGGGCTCGAACCCACAAACCACGAGATGGTGACCTGAGCCAAAATCAAGAGTCAGACACCTAACCGACTGAGCCCTGCAGGTGCCCCCACTTTAACCCTCAGTGGCATTAAGTGCATTCACACTGTCTTGCCACGGCCCTCTCCTTCTCCTCATCTGAGACTGTTTCCATTAAACACTAGCTCCCCAGCCCCTGGTAACCTCTATTCTACCTTCTTCCTCTGTGAATTTGACTATTCTAAGGACTTCATATAAACAGAATCATGTAGTATTTTTTCTTTTGTGTCTGGCTTATTTTACTTAGCATAATATTTTCATGGTTCATCCGTGTGGCAGGTGGGAACTTCATGCCTTTTTAAGACTGAATAATATTTCATCGCATGTAATTAAATAGTATTTTAAAGGAGAGATTTCCAGTAACATCCAAAAGAGAAAAATACCCAGGAATAAATTTAACCAAGGAAGTGGAAAACATGTACACTGAAAACTACAAAACACAATTTTTTGTGAAAAAAATTAAAGACCTAATTAAATGAAAAGATAGCCCATGTTCATGGACTGAGCACTTGCTACAGTTAAGATGGCGGTGCTCCCCAAAGTTGTATATAGATTCAATACATTTCCTATGAAGACAACATTGGCCTTTTTTTTTTAGCGGACATAGAAAAGAACCTCAAATTCATATGGAACCACAATGGCTCGTGAATAGTCCAAACAATATTGAAAAAGAAAAACAAAGTTGGAGAGTTCATATGTCTTGACTTCAGAACTTACTACAAAGTCATATTAATCACAAGTGGGGTACTGTCATAAGGATAGACCAATGGAATAAAACCAAGACAACAAAATAACCCAAATATCTATAGCCAACTGGTTTTTGACAAAGGTGCCAAGACCATTCAGTGAGGAAGGAATTTGTTAGTATCTTCAACAAATGATGCTGGGATAACTGGATAGCCACACACATAAGAACAAAGTTGGACCCTGTGATGATTAATTTTGTGTGTCAACTTGCCTAGGCCACAGTACCCAGATATTTGGTCAAATGCCAGTTTGGATGTTGCTGGAAGGTATTTTTAAGATGAGATTAACAAATCAGTGGATCCAGAGTAATGGGGTTTACCCTTCATAATGTGGGTGGGCCTCATCCAGTCAGTTGAGGGCCTTAAGAGAAAACAGACCTAGTTCCCCAAGTGAGAGGGAATTCTACCCCCAGACTGTGTTCAGATTCAAACCTCAGTATCAACTCTTCCCTGAGTCTCTGGGTCTCTAGCCTGCGCACTCACTCTGCAGATTTTGGATGTGGCCACCATCCACAATTGTGTGAACCAGTTACTTAAAATAACTCTCAAAAAAAAAAAAAAAAAAAAAGCCAACTAACCAAACTCTCCCTCTGTACACACACACACACACACACACACACACACACACACACCCTACTGTGTCTGTTTCTCTGGAGAACTCTAATACAGGAGGTAAATCTTCCTATTTCCAGGTTTGGCCAATCTTAGATTTGACATGAAAAGAAGTGGCAAATGAAAAAAGTAGTAAGTTGATCTCCATCAAAGCTAAAATCTTTTGTGCATCAAAGGACATTATGAAGACAGGTAAAAGTGGCCTAAGGAAAGAGGCCAGCTTTCCTCTTATGGTGGGTGTCCTCCCCTGCTCACTGACTCAGCCCCTCGCGGCGCTCAGCGGGCCCCTCCCCTCCACCTCTGCCAGGCTCAGCTGTGGGGGCTGCCCTGCCCCTAGGTGGTGGCGGCGCAGCATGGGCCTGCGTGGACTGTGATGGCACGGCACCTGGAGCCCTCCTACGTAACGAGTTCATTTCTGAGGCTCCAGACCAACCGCAGTCAGCCCTGGGCCTGGTTCTCACGGACTGATGGGGCAGCCAGTGTCCTCCCTGGAACCCAGGAGGGGAGTCAGAGTCCCTCCCGGCCCCTTTCACTGCTTTCTGAAAGACCAGGTGGCCAGGAAGCCTGGACGGGGATTCACCAAACCCACCCCTTTCTGCCCCTTTCCTGCCTTTGTGCTGAGATCACTGATTCACCCATGAAGTCAAGGTTCTGTGTGGGGAAGATGTCCCCTGAACACTGTCAGCTCGTGTTAAGACCCATAGAACATACTGGAAGGAACAGAAGCCTGGATGGGGCATCCTCTGCTGCCCGCCCTCATGCTTCTGGCAGCCCTGACCCTCCTGCTGCCCTAGGGAGAGGCACAGCCCATGTTTTCCTGTGACTTTCGAATCTTTCTTTTTGCACAGGAGTCTAAACTTTCTAAGGGAAGAATAGTCCATTCCATTTCATCAGTCTTTCTCACCGAATTGGAAGCGTTCCTGAGCTAATGAGGACCTTGTGTTGGGTGCTGATGACCCGACCCCGATGCAGCGATGAGATTCTGTTCATTTGCAGAAACATGCAGACAGTTCTCTGTTTATGCAGACAAATCCTCCCTCACCTGTGCTCTGACAAGGAAGCAAGGAGCAGCCGCTGGGGTTGTGGGTGCTCGCTCCCTGGGCACCCGCCATGTGCCAAGGCCTGAGCTGGCTGGTCCCGGGAGCCCCGAGAGGAGGCACCGAGAGGAGGGTCCTCCAGAGATGGGTCTGCTCTTGGACAAGGGCAATGGGGCACGCTGTGAGCTGGGCAGGGCCGTGCAGCCTATGACGAGATGGGTGTGGTGCCGCCTGTGGAAAGGGGGCTACCTGGAGGGGCATCTGTGCAGAGTCAGATGGCAAAGGGGCTGCTGGGGGGGGGGGGGGAGAGGGTCCGTCCTGCCTGAGGGTGACAGGAGGCTCTCTCTGGTCTTGGCAGGCAATGGAGTGTGAATCAGACCTCGAAGGGAAAGGTGGGCTTGGGGACAGCGTGGGTGTAGTTGGGGGAACCACGAAGCACACAGATCACTGTGGGGGGAGGGGGCTCACAGGGTTCAGGTCAGGCAGGGCAGGTAGTGGCCAGGATTGGATTGTCCCAGCGGGTGTGGGTCCGGGAGGCCGGACAGCTGTGGTCAGTGAGTTGGAAAGACTCAGTCAGGGCGCTCCTGCACTTCAGAGTATGGATGGGGGAGAGTGAGGTCAGAGTCTGGGAGACCCGTGGGAGGCTGGGTGGGCAGCCTGGATGCCACATTTGTGAGATGTCTCCCCCGCTTTGTGCCAAGGGTCCTTGAGATGCGCATCCTGCCCCCCAGGGACCCCTGACAGGCCCCCCCCCCGAGGCTCAGGGGTCTGCCAGGGCTCTGGGTGGATGGCTTATCTGTGATTCTCATAACCCTTGCATTTGTGCTCAATATAAACACAAATCCAATGTTTCCATTTTCAAGGAGGTAGTTTTAGTAACAAATCTTGACGCTGATTTGTCTGACTGCAGCAGTGATGTGAACAGATATGTTTCTATGATTCTTCTATGATCCCTCAAGTGAACATGAACATCAGCTAATCAGTTTCCGAAGATGATAAAGTCTGAGTAATCTTCATTGCTTTTTTTCTAAACTTATTTAAGATTCAGTCACAAGAGAAACGTGTAGTCTCAGAGCCCCTGGCTATGGTCTGGGCTCACCCAGGGGGCTGACTGAGGGGGCTGCAGGGCCTCACACCATGCCGGCTTTTGTCTTGAATGCAGTGGCCTCGTGGTCTACGCGGACGGACCCCTGAACTTGGACCGCAAGGCAGAAGACATGTCTGAGCTGTTCCGGCCCTTCCACACGTTGCTGCGGAAAATAAGGTGGAGGGGGGGAGGGGCTTCGGGAGGGCGGGGGGAGGGGCAGTGGGGGAGGGGGGGTCCATGGTTGCCCCTGAGCCCTCCTTTCCTCGGGGATGGAAGTCCTCTTCTGTGAAGTCAGAGGTGCCAGACCCTTGCTCTTTGTCTTGAGTTATTGGTTTATAATGTTTGCAGTCCCCTCGCACAACCCCATACCTTTCTCTACCCACACAACCAGGTTCTTTGTTCCTGGGCAGTAACACTATGACCTTTGGTAAAAAATGCCAATAACATGACAGCAGCCACCCTGGCTCGGGGCTCTGGCACTGGGCCTTGAGAGATGGAGAGCCCGGGGAAACTGAGGTGGTGCGGGTGCCCCCAGGGCCACACAACCTGCAGGGCAGGGCTGTCCCCCAGGCCAGCCTCCAGGCTGAGGCTCGGGCCCAGGTGGAGAATGGTATTTGTCCGAGGGCTCTCATTGGTTTCTTCCACAGTGTAGGGGTGAAGGGCCCAGCTCGCTCGAGCACCCGTGCCCCTCCCCTGCTGTGGCTTATCTGGCTCCCCCAGTGGTCCCAGGCAACAGGCCCAGGTGGTGTTGGTGCCCCTGGCCCCATGCGTGCTGTCCTGTGGGCTTGGTGGCACTTGGGGTGGGTGACTGCTCTCTGCTGTAAGGGGCTCCCCTTAGCCTTCAGCAGCAACAAGCCTCAAGCCAGCCCCCTCCATCTTGGGAGAGACCCCCCCAAACCCAAACTTCACATGGGTGGGGAGCCCTCCCTGGGGTGGCCCCTCTGAGCTGAAGCACCCAGCTGTGGCCTCCTTGAGGGATGGCAGTGAGCACATGTCCTCTGATCACCTCCCTAGCCCTGCGGTCTTGGACTCTGAGGTCTTTCTTACTGGGGTCTTATGGCTCCAGTCCCTGGAGGCCCCCTTCCGTGCCTTTGGTGGAGCTGATGACCCTATGGGCTCCTGCAGCAGCCTTCCTGGGTCTGGCAGGACTGTTTAGCCCAGGGCGGCCTGGGGCTGGCTTTCCTTTGCTGGTGCCAAGCTTCCCTTTGGCTCCATGAGGAGCCAAAAGTGCTGTGAATCCAGACGGTGGAGAATGACCCAGCAGGATGGTCCTCAGAGAGTCATTGGCCCTGGGGGTGGGTGAAGCACAGCCTGTGATGGGGTGCTTGGTCCAGGCTATAGCTCATCTGATAGATGGCCTGCTGTTGCTTCCCTTGTGCCCAGCCCAGTCTTGAGCACTCTGGGAAGAATGTGACCCTGGCCCAGGGCACGACTGCTGCCCTCCCTGGCTGTCTGACTGGGAGAAGAGACAAAGAAGGAGGCGAGGTGGTGGATGATGCTGAGGCTGGGAAGGAAAGACAAGAGTGCTTAGATCAGACTGGGGGTCTTATGGAGGAAGGGCCAGTGCATGGAGATGGGGGGGGGTAGGCACCGGGTATGGGCATGTCCAGAGCATTAGAGACATGTGCAACATGCTCAAAATTCTAATGCACATAATTGGAATCAGAAGGAAGGAACAGGGGCGCCTGGCTGGCTCAGTCAGAGGAGCACATGACTCTTCATCTCAGGGTCGTAAGTTGAAGCCCCACATTGGGTATAGAGATTACTTAAGGGGCGCCTGGGTGGCGCAGTCGGTTAAGCGTCCGACTTCAGCCAGGTCACGATCTCGCGGTCCGGGAGTTCGAGCCCCGCGTCAGGCTCTGGGCTGATGGCTCAGAGCCTGGAGCCTGTTTCCGATTCTGTGTCTCCCTCTCTCTCTGCCCCTCCCCCGTTCATGCTCTGTCTCTCTCTGTCCCAAAAATAAATAAAAAACGTTGAAAAAAAAATTTAGAGATTACTTAAAAAAATAAAATCTTCAAAAAAAAAAAAAAAACAAGAAGGAAAGAATAGAGCAAAATGAGCAGAAACAATATTCAAAGAAAAAAATGGCCAAGAATTTTCCCAAACTGAAGAGAAATCTCTGCCCACACACTTAGGAGGCTCAAGAAAACTACAAGGAAGATAAATACAAAACATACTTAGGTGTATCATAGTAAAATTGCTGAAAACAAAGAAGAAATCTTAAGCACAGCCAGAGAAAAAGCACATATTTCTTGGAAAAGAATGTAAGATTGACAGCTGTCTCCTAAGAAACAAACAAACAATGGGAACCTGAAGGCAATGAAATGATACATATTAAAAGTGCTGAAAGAAACTAGCTGCCAACCAGGATTTTATACCCAGCAGAAGTATCCTTCCACAATGAAGGTAAAATGGTGTTATTCAAAAGCAGAGTGCTGCAGAAATGTATCAGCAGCCTGTCCACAGAGAAATGCTAATTGGAGTTCTTTAGGCAAAGGAGAAGTTTCAGGTGGAAATGTGGAAATGCAAGAGAGATTGAAGAACTTTCTGTGAATTAATATAAATAAATGTGGATATACAAAAAACTCATTGTAATGTCTTGTGGAGTTCAAACTATACATAGCGTTGTCAACATTTGAAAAATCAGCATTTTGCTACATTAATTTGTAAAATTTCAAAAGTTACAGAATAAGAATTTGAAAAAGTCAGTACATATTTTATGATGAAAACATTTCTTAGCAAATTAGGAATAAATGGGGATTTTCTTAGTCTGATACAAGACAGAGATATGCATACACACCATATGAAGTTGAATCCTTATGTAACACCATATACAAAAGTGAACTCAAAATGGATCCAGGACATAAATTCAAGGCCTGAAACAATAAAACTCTTAGAAGACCACACTGGACAAATGCTCTACCACATTGCATTCGGAAATGATTTCTTGGATAGGATACCAAGACATAGGCAACAAAGAAAAAATAGACAAATTGGACTTGAAAAGTTTAAAACTTTGTGCATCGAAAGATGCTCTCAACAGAATAAAGAGGCAACCCACAGGCTGGAGAAAATATTCTCCTATTTTGTATCTGGGATATAAAGGGATCAATACACAGAATATATAGAGAACTCCCAAAACCCACCAACAAAAACCAAACAACCCAATTCAAAAGGGCAAGGGATTTAATTAAACATTTCTCCAAAGAAGATTTATGAATGGTCAAGCACATGAATAGATGCTCGACATCATTGTCAGAGCACGTGCAAATCAAAACCACAACGAGATCCTACCCATTAGGCTGGCTACCCTCAAAACAAACAAATAACAACAACAAAACAAAATAACCGTGTGGATGAGGATGCAGAGAAATTAGAACCCTGTATGCTATTGGTGGGAGTGTAACATGCTGCAGGTGCTGTGCAAAACGGTGTGGAGGTTCCTCAAAAAATGAAAAATAGAATTATCACCTGATCCAGCAATTCCACTTCTGGTATATACCCAAGAGAATTGAAAGTAGTGTCTCAAAGACACATTTATACACCTGTGTTCCCAGAGGCGTTATTCACAATAGCTAAGAAGTGGAAGCAACCTAGGTGTCCATTGATGGATGAGTGGATAAGCGAAATGTAGTCCAGCCACACAATGGAATATCATTCAGCCTTAAAAGGAAGGAAATCCTGACGTCTGCCACCACACAGATGAACCTTGAAGGCGTGCTTGGCGAAGTAAGCCAGTAACAAAAAGATAGACTGTGTATGATTCCAATTATATGAGGGGCCTGAACTAGTCAGAATCAGAGGGATGGAGAGTAGGATGGTGAGAGCCAGGGAGGAGAGCGTGTGGTTAGTGTTTCGTGGGGACAGAGTTTCAGTTTCACGAGATGAGTGAGTTCTAGGGGTGGATGGTAGTGATGTTTACACTATGATGTGAATGTATTCGATGCCACTGAATTGTCACTTAAAAATGGTTATGATGGTAAATGTCATGTCATATGTATTTGATCACAATAAAAATTTAAATATCACCTACAATATCATTACTAAATATCAGCTAGTTAAGCATAAGTCTGAAGGTGTCTAAGTCTTCCATTGAAAGTTAATGAAATGTTACATAAAATGTTAAAGATGTAAATAGAGAGCTATCCATGTTCAAGGAGTGGAAAACTTAACATTGAGAAAATATCCCGTTATTCTCAGATGAATTCAGTGCAAGTCTCCATCAAAATCTCCGGAGGTGTTTGTCTCTTCTTTTTTGGCACAAAATTGACAAACTAACTCTAAAATTCAGGTAGAAATGCAGTGTGCCCAGAATAGCTAAAAAGAAGAAGATGCCTGGAGAAAAAGAACGTTATTTATCTATCCTACTCCTGCTGGGCTTTGGGTTGTTTCCACAAGTAATGCTGGTGTGACCATGCTTGTGAATGTGTGTGCATTTCTGCTGAGTGTGCTTCGTAAAAAAGGACACTCCCTGGCATGGCGCTCTAGTGAAGCTCACGGAGGTGCAGACCCAGGAGCGGCTTCTGGCCCCATCAACAGAATGGAGCCTAGAAACAGACCAACACAGACAGGTTTCCCGGATTTATGACAGAGGAGACGTTGCCGAACAGTGGGGAATGCTTGCTTTTTTCCAGTACATGGGCTGACTCAGCAGATATCCATATGAGGAAAAACGTGTCTGGATCCTTACCACAACCATCTACAAGAATCAACTCCGGATAGATGGGAGATACACACATGGAAAGGAAAGCAGTGAAGATCGCAGAGGGAAAGAGCAGGAACATCTTTGCGACCTTGGAGTGGGCAGATTTCTTAAACAGGACAGAAGAGCACTAAACATAAAGGAAAAAGGGATTTATTGAACTTTATTGAAATTAAAAACTGTAGTTCATCAGGAGGTACCATTAAGAGTGAAAAGGAAAGCCCTAGAGTTGGAGAATATATCCAACAAAGAACTCAAATCCAAAACAAGTAAAGAACTCCTGTCAATCAGTAAGAAGGAGACCGCGAAGCCAAGTAAAAATGGGCAGAAGACCTGAAAGCATTCACAGCATTTGTATCTAAGGGCTGACAAGCATGTACCCCGGTGTTTCCTTCATTCATCAGCAGGCTGAGCACTTTAAAGTGAAAAATTGGGGCGCCTGGGTGGCGCAGTCGGTTAAGCGTCCGACTTCAGCCAGGTCACGATCTTGCAGTCCGTGAGTTCGAGCCCCGCGTCAGGCTCTGGGCTGATGGCTCAGAGCCTGGAGCCTGTTTCCGATTCTCTGTCTCCCTCTCTCTCTGACCCTCCCCCGTTCATGCTCTGTCTCTCCCTGTCCCAAAAATAAATAAACGTTGAAAAAAAAATTAAAAAAAAAAAAATAAAGTGAAAAATTGCCGGGAGTGCATGGCAGTGCCGGGGAGCAGGCCAGAGAGCGGCATGGGGGCTGTCCAGTGTGCACGCTCACCCCCTCCCCCCGCCCCCGTGTGCACCTGCCGGGACACACACGTGCATTCCCTGGGCACGCTTCCCCGCCCCCACGGCCGTGTGCACCTTCAGGGATGCGCACGTGCGTTCCCTGGGCACGCACCCCCCCCATGTGCACCTGCAGGGATGCGCATGTGCGTTCCCTGGGCACGCACCCCCCCATGTGCACCTGCAGGGATGTGCACGTGCATTCTCCAGGCATGCCCCCCGTCGTGTGCACCTGCAGGGATGCGCACGTGCGTGCCCCAGAGAGGCTCGCCAAGAGGGTGAGTCGGGGCAGTCAGAGCCCACCAGGAGTGGAGCCCACCAGGAACAGCTCCCCGGGTGAACGGTGGTGGTTTCCAGCCCGAAAGGCTACAGGCCACGAGATGAGACCATCGACCACACAGAACCTCACCAGGTGGGGTTGCCAAATCCAGCGAGACAAAACCAGCAGAACCCTCAACTGAATTTGAATTTCAGATAAACTGTGAGCACTTTCTTAGTGCAAGAATGTCCCGTATGCTCCCCATTTGGGAATACGTACCTGAAGAAATATTCACATGTCTAGGAGTGTTTGTCGTTTATCTGAAATTCACATTTACCTGCATGTCGTCTGGAGGCTCTACTCAAATACGATATTGCCAAATGAAGCCCGCCTCTGAAGAGTGTGGGCTGCGATTCCCACTTACGTGCGGAATGAAAACAGGCGAGACCACGTCAGTCTTTAGAAGTCAGGCTGCTGGCGATGGCAGGGGGTGACTGGAAAGGCACGTGGGGGCCTGGGAGCCTGGTTCGTGTCCTGTCGTTTGATCTGATGCTGTCTGCACGGGCGTGCTCAGTGCATGAGGCGCCACAGCTGTGCGGTTCTGGGAAGTACGCTTTTCTGCCTGTTTCCGTGACCGACAGGAATGTGTGACCTGGACTCAGACCTGCTGGCAGAGAGCAAGGCGCAGGCCTGCGCTAGACACGCCCCAGCGCCACTACATTAACCCCTTTCAGGTCTCCGGTTCAGTGCCCCTTCCCCCAGGAAGTCTCCCTAGACTGAGCCCGGTGCCCTGCTGTTACCCTCGAGAGAGCAGGCATTTTCCTTCGTCGTAGTTGCTGTTAATGTAACTCAGTCATCGTTCATGGAAATCTGTCTCTTACCGGCTCTTCCAGCGCAGCCCCAAGGGCAGGGACCTGCCTGGGCCTTCCTGCGTCTCCCCGGGGCCCGGCACAGAGACCGCTGTCAAGAACGTGTGCTGAATGAAAGTCTATGCGTAAACCAACTTTTTTTTCACTCCTAGAAGGTTTTCTTAACGTGATGATCACATCCCCAAGAACCAGGGCCCTCTTGTTTCCAGTCTCACTTCTAAGAAAGAAACCATCCCAGGCATCCATGCGGACAGCTGTTGTCCAGACCCGTGGCACGGAGCGGTCCCCGCACGCCTGTGCCTCGTCCTGTAGCGGGGGAGGTGTGCGCCACGCGCATTTCGTTGCAAGGCTTTGACACCTTGCTTCTCTGCTGATGCAGACGTCGAGGATGCTGTGTCCACTCCTGGCCACGGGGCTGGTGTGGCCTCTGGGAGTCTCACCCCTGGTTCTTATCTTGACCCTTTAGGGATTTGCTGCAGACCCTGACCGAGGAGGAGCTTCACACGCTGGAAAGGAATCTCTGCATTTCCCAAGACGTGGAGTTTCCCATCCGGGCAGACGCCCAGGCGCCCCCAGCCCTGGCGCCCGCCTTTCCCTCACCCCTCCCCGCCGAGGAAATGCTCTCAGCCAAGGCCAAAAGCCAGGAGGGGGAGCTGGCCTGCTCCATGCAGTATGACGACCAGGAGCTAGAGCAACTCAACCGCATGGTCCACAGGGCCGGGGACGAGATGTCCTCCCTCCTCTCCCCGCCCAGCGCCTGCCAGTCCCCCGCGCACAGGCCGGGGGCGGAGGGCAGCCCCCGCGGGGAGGCCTCCCCAGGCAGCGCAGGGCTGCGGCCGCGCGGTGACGAGGAGGAAGGAAGGGTGTTCTTCATGGATGACGTGGAAGGGGCTGCAGAGGCCCCGGGAAGCCCGGCTGGGTGGGCGGGCAGCGCCAGTGCTGGCCCCCAGGAGAGAGGACAGGGCAGGGGGCGTGGGGAGGCAGGGGCCAGCAGGCCCGCCGAGGCAGAGGAGGGGGACCTGAGCACTAACAACAACGTCCAGGACGACAAGCTGTGGGCGCTGGGCCCCAACTCCTGCAGCTGCCTGGACTCCCAGCCACACCTGGAGGGCTGGGAGGCGGGGGTGGACGCCGCGGGGACGGCGGAGATGATCGCCCACCGGACAGGGGGCATGAAGCTCTCGGCCACCGTCATCTTCAATCCCAAATCGACCGCGGCCGTGGGCGTGGCCGGCACCGCCCCGGAAGCCTCTGGAGAGGGCATCTCCCCGTCGGAGCCTGCGGCCGAGGGGATGGACGGTGGCTCCCACAAACTCAGTGCTGCGGCCACCAGCTGTCTCCTGAACTCCTGCGTGTGCTGCGGGGGCTGTGGGGGCGGCAGGGAGGACGCCGCTGCCCAGAGTCTGCGGGACAAGTGCGGCCCGGGAAGCATCATCAGCGCCTCCTACATGGGCTCCGCCAAGGCCGGCGCCAAGGGCCCTGCCGAGAGACAGGAGGAGGCCCGACCTGCGCCAGAGGCGTTGCCCACGGACGCCCCGTGCCCCCTGCCCCCAGAGGACGCCCCTACTTCCAACAAGTGCCTGACACACACCCCAGGTCCTCAGCTCGATGCAGCAGACAGGTCACCTGGAGCGGGCGCCGCCGCCAGTCCGAAAAGGGAGCCTGAGGCTGGACCGCAGGAGGCAGGGCAGCCCTCGACGGCCAGGCTGGAAAGTCAGCAGGGAGAGGAGGCCGAGCAGGAGCCTCAGCGCCTGTCGGGCTCCAGGTAAGAGCCATCTCTGGCCACAGCCGGGTTCCTCTGTCTGCCTCAGGGCTCATTCCCTAAGTGCTGACCCGCTTCCCTCAGCTTCTCAGGCGTGCCAGGGGCAGTGGGAGGTGGCCGGTGTCGGACACCAACACGGCAGGCAGTTAAGCAGATGATACGAGGCCCTCCTGGGCCTGACTGCCTCAGCCCACCCCCTTGCGTCGTCGTGGCCCCTCCTGGCCCTGGGTGAGCCGCGCTGGGGAGAACTGGGCCGTGGCCGCCTCTGAGTATGCTTTCCATCTCCCTTTGCTCACTATCCTGGCCTTGGAAGTGGAGCCCCTGGGGCTGTGGTGGGGTCCTGGGGACTCCCTGGGCATATTCTCAGGCCGTGCCTCCAGGGCTCCCCCGTAGAGCCAGGGGACCAGGAAAGGCAGGCCCGGTGGGGGTCTGCGGGACCCTGACACCTGCACACCTCTTTCGACTCCAGGCCGCTGTCCCTTCCCTTGCTCCCCACACCCTGGACTTATCTGGAACAAAGCAGATTCAGTGAGCACTGCCCCAGCACCCCCCATGTGCCTGCTGCGTCCTCAGCATCAGAAGAGAGGTGCTGGGTTCACACATGGCCGTTGTGTTGTCACCACCCTTGGTCCTCCCACCGGGGCCCTGCCTGCTTTGGCTGTGTCTGCCCAGTGGTGGTGGGCTTTTCCGTGTGGGGTCTGCAGTCACTCCTCACCCCTCCCCCGGCCCCAAGCAGCCACCGATTTACTTTGTGTCTCCATGGATCTGCCCCTTCTGGACAGTTCAGAGAACCAGAATCACACAATACGTGAGCCTGTCTCCTTTTGCTGAGTGTGTCTCCTTTCGCTCATCAGCGTCGTAGCAAATGCCAGTGCCGCCTTCCTTTTTGTGTCTGAGTAGTATTCTGCCGTTTTGTTGGTCGCCGTCGATGCGCATGTGCGTTGTTGATCCTTTTTGCTGCCGTGGATAGTCCTGCTCTGCAGATTCGTGAACACGGTTTTGTACAGTCAGAGGTTTTCATTTTTCTTGGGTGTGTATGCAGGAGTAGGATCGCTGCACCATATGCTAACTCTGTGGTCAGCTCTTTGAGGTGCTGTCGACTGGTTTCCAGAGGGTCTGCAGTTCTGTGCCCGCTGGGTCGTGCGTGAGGCCCCACCTTCTGGACATCCTCACCAGCGCTCATTATCACCTGAGACTTTTACCAACAGTGCGTTTGTCCTTAGGGGGCACACACAGCGTGGACTGCTCCCAACCCCCTCGAGACCGAGACCGTCCCTTTCTTTGAGACTGTGCCCCCGGTGTTACTCACAGCAGGTTATTTTATTTCATTCAACGTGAGACGCATAGAGATGGTCATTTGCATTTATTTCTGGAGATGTGCCCACTTTCCCTTCCAGCCGCGTGGCCCCCCGTGTGGCTGCACCAGACCCTGCTGTTACAGACGGTGCAAACATCTGTTTTTGAGGTGCAAGTCCAGCTTCCTCAGCCGTGTCCAGAGGGAATGAGTTATTGTCACAACCCATTGGGTGGCTTTCTTCATCAGGGCCTCTGACCCTGCGGCACAGAGCTGATTGGTAAGCGGATAACTTTTTTGCAAGGATGATAGGAAATCATCAGGAATTCTTTGACAGGATACGTGAATTTTTCAGCTTTTGACCTGCCCCCCTTTCTGGGTCCAGCCAGCGGACACCCGCTCTGTCTCCTGGTTTCCTGACGTGTCCCACAGTGGACACGGCTTGTTTGCCTCACAGACAGCTTCCCAAGGCCTCACTCACCATAGCACAAACGCTGAGGCTGAGCTGAGGAAAGGGAAGAGAAGCCCCACGGTGGCCTTGAGAGACAGTCCCATCTTGCAGGGAAGCCGCAGAGGGTCTGAGGAGGGAAGAATGTGGCAGGTGGTGGGATGATCAGGACAGACATGGGTGTGGGACAGGACCTTGGACAGCGATGCCCCCCCCCTTCCCCCTCCCCAAGCCCCTGTAGCGGGAATCCACCTGCAGTGCACACATCAGGAGCGCCTTTCGCTCATGTCACAAGCTGACCTCATGGGCGTGCTCGAACACTAATACAGAGGTGACAGAGCAGGGTACAATTAAAATGAACAGACACAAAGGACCAGCCTCACACAGGCAGGAAGTGCACCAAAATTCATGAGGCTTCACGATGGAGACTGTGGGCCTTGCATGCAGGGGCAGGTGACTACCCCTCCCATTCTGCAGATGGACAGGCTGGAGTTTGCCTCAGCTCCGAGTGCCTGGAAGATGTGGGTGGCCTGCAGCCTCCTGCCTGTCCTGACCTGCAGGTGACCGGTGGCTGGAGGAGTGAGCGGCAGGCGTGGCACTGTGCTCTTGAGCTCCCAGTCCTGAGGGGGAGTCACACAGGTGCAGCCTCACACCTCTTCGAGCCACACAGGGTTGGCCCAGGCGCACGGAGTTGTGACGGAGGGTCCGCCTGCCCCGAGGACACCTGGAGCGGATTTTCCTGCTTAAGCAGAAGACAGGTGGAAGGCAGGGCACTGGGGTCTCAGCTGGAGAAGCCCCCGCGGCAGCCCCCCAGGCCCTACATTCAGCCCGCCGCACCATGGCCCGTTCCACCAGCACTGTTGCCAGGATGGTGGGACATGGCCCTCAGCAGAATCCTGGGCAGAATGTTCCAGAATCATGGGTCCTTCAGCTTTTCTCTTTTTCCTGGCTTCTTCTCTCCTACCTTTTCAGGAAAAGTTAGGAGCTTTTTAAAGGAAAAGTTAACATTTTTTAAAAGCTTGTTCCCTGTCTAGACTCACCTCACTGTTCCAGAACCTTCCATGCTGTGGAAGCCTGAATAAGTCACTTGTCTACAACATGGAAGCTCATCCTGCTTCAAGTCTGTTTTTGTCCTTTCTGTGGACATTAGACTAGAGTGTGTCCATCCTGCTGCCTTGTTTAAAAAATAACACGGGCTCTCTTTTTTCTTATTATAAACATGGCCCCGTTCATTGTAGAAACTTTGGAAACAGAAGGAAATAAAAATCATCCCAAATCCCATGGGCAGTTTTATTTTTCTCACTAAATCTTATCTTGTGATCATTGCTCTGTAAAGCTCTTGAAAAACACGATTTCTGTTGAATTAGGATTTCTGTATCCTAAGAACATACCTAATTTCTTCTATGTTTTCCCACTTCCATATATTTTTTCTATGTTAAATTAGCTTTGTGGTCATGCTCCCTTACAGCTCTACATCTGCCTCTTGGATTGTTTTTTTAATGTTTATTTATTTTGAGAGAGAGAGAGAGAGAGAGAGAGAGAGAGCGAGAATCCCAAGTGGGCTCCACACTGTCAGCACAGAGCCTGACGCAGGGCTCAAACTCACAAACCGTGAGATCATGACCTGAGCCAAAATCAGGAGTCAGACGCTTAACCGACTGAGCCCCCCAGGCACCCCAGTTGGGTTATTTCTTGAGAATCGACTGTTAGTAGAGTCAGCACAGCAAAGGTATAAAGGTCTTACCATCACTTACGTCAGCTCACCTCCCAGAAGCCAGCCATGTACTGCCTGGGTGGGGGGCTGCCCCCGCCCACACAGCCGCAGCCCCAGTTTCCTCACCTTGAGGAGCAGAAGTGGGACCCTCTGTGCTGTTGGAGGTGGCTTTTCTCTGGTGGTCGGTACCCCGCGTACTTCTACCCGTTTCGTGGTTCCTCTGTCTGTGCACAAAGTGGCCGTTCACGTGTCTCGCTTATTTTCCAATTGGGTTTTCGTGTCTTTTTTACTGACTTGAAAACATTCCTTCTGGTGTGTCTGCTGTGGATAGATTTACCCAACGTGCTACTCGCCCTTTGACTTTATTTGTTGATGACGTCCATTTTGTTTTGCGTAATTAAATTTATAAAAATTCTAGAGACAACTTTTGGTTCTCACGTTTGTTGTTAGTTTGTCCTCTGGCTGATTGTGCATCTGCTACCCCCCTCACCTGCAAGGTCAGGGAGCACTGTCCTCGTCTCCTGCTAGTGTCCTGTGGCCATCCCCTCTTTCACCATCAACTCTGCACCCCAGTCTTAGAAGTCCCGTTGTTGTGTCTCCTGAGACCGTCTCTAACCATCAGAGGGAGCGTGACTGTCAGGGCCCGGGGCCATCCTGACACACAGGCACGGCTACTCCAGTCTCTGGCTCAGGGGGACCTCAGCAACCATCGTCACCGGCCCCGCCCTGCAGGGTCGCTCTGCGTCATTCAGTTCTTTGGCCACATTTGAGTCTGGCTGGTGGTGCCCCCCGCCTCTCCATCATGCACTTAGTGGGCCTCCCTGGCTGTCATTTTGGATAGAAAGATAAGAATCTGGAAGGCTGTCCTTTGCACGGGCTTCTGAGCTCCTGCTCTAAACAGGTGACATGTGCTTGGACCATGTGCTCCTTCTTGCAGAGGGGAGCTGCTGGCACACCTCGCCTGTGGCACCTCCTCCCCTGTTTGGGTGGCAGTATTGGAGGATGTGTTCCTCTGCACCTGCAAATTCCGGGGGTGGGGGGGTCGGGGGGGGGGGGGAAACCTGTGGGCTGGATGCTTGACCTTGACCTCCTCAAGCCTTGGTTTTGTCATCTGCAAAATGGGCTAACAATAGTCTCCAGCTCAGATGGCATCTGGAGGAGGAGCTGAGAGGCCACGGAACGTTGTTCCTTCATGTGAGTCCACGTCTTACTTGTCATTGTTACGTGTCTTCGTTACTCGCTGTTGTTATCTGACGCTGTGACTCACCCACTGTTACTCACCGCCTTGGTTCAGGATTGTTACTGACTGTTCCTGTTTCCAGTCTTGACTTTACCTCCCCATCACGTCACTGGATTTCACTGTTTCTGGGTCTGATTCCCACTCTTCACTGGTGGTGTGACCACCGGGCAGGGTTATCTCGGGCACCGCGGTGGGACTCTGTCCCGTGCTGACAGACTCTGGAGGAGGCCGGCCTCCAGCATCACCTCCTCACTGAACCTGAGTCTTGCCTGCCTGGCTCCTTTTCCAGTGAACGCCTTGCCTTCCT